ATAGTCTCGGTCTCGAAGCGCACATCAGTTGTGGTCTCGTATGAGAAATATTGTGTTAATAATGGCTGTAATTGAAGGCAACATCCGATTAGACATAATAATCGCGATATGTTTTTGTAATTTTTAATGAATTTTAGCATTTTAGTGATAAGTATATTAGTGTTCATTTTAAAAATATAATATTATTACTCATAAGCATCTGAAACACATGAAAATAATTTTATTAACTCAAATATAAATAAAGTTTTCAAATATTATTTATTAAAAAAATTTCATAAATGTATATTAGTTATTCAATATAATATATTCTAATATAATTTATAATATTTAGCCTTTCTATACATTAATTAATTATTCAATAATATACAGCATTTTAAATAATAAATTAATTCTAATATTGTGCTGCTCAAAAACACATACAATTTAAATAATAACTAAATTATAACATAAATTAATTTTTTCTACTATTTCACAACATCATACTGCAATAATAATCATTATTCATGAATATTAATTAAACCTCATGTATATTTAGAATAATAAATATTGCTGTTTATAAGAATATGTTAATTATTTTGTTTACAGCAAAATAATTATTAAATTAATTAATTCATTAAAATATATGTCAATTTTATTAATATTATACAGTATTTGGTATTGTGTTTTGACATTTGACATTAACAAACGACTTAATAATAATTAAATAAGTTTAATTGAAAATATATCTTTCTATATATATTTTAATTGTCGTTATATTAAACAATAATTAATATTTAAAAATAATACATTTTGTTGTAAAGAAATAAAATTTTAAAATAAAAATAACATGGTTAAACTTATTGCATTTATAATGTTTTACAGAATATAAATGTTGTCACTTGTTATATAAAATGTTGTATTAATATTAAGAGAGCAAATAAAATAATTTTCTAATTATTGTAATATTGGTAAAGTTTTTAAAGGTCAAAATCAAGTTGGTTGGATGCAATGGAACCGCCATCAGTAACCAAGTTAGTGCCGGTGATAAACGCAGCATGGTCACTGGCCAGATATAGTATGCTATCGGCCACATCATTAGGCAGGCCGGAGCGACCGACAGGCAATTTAGCGAATGATTCGTGTAGTTTATTTGAGGCATCCTCTGTGGCGCCCATAGCCGTAAGAAAACTGGTGCGAATTGGACCAGGACTATAATATTGAGCATGGTTATTATTTATATGCTTATTTAGTAAATTAAGTAAAAATTTATTTACTTAATTACGTTAACCCGTATGCGTTTAGGTCCCAACTCGGCGGCCATACACTTAGTAAACATATCCAAAGCTGCCTTTGCTATACAATACGGACTCAGGCCTACAAACTAATCAATTAAATAATTAAATATTAAATAATTTGTTCTGAATTTATATCTAAATATACTGTATTTTGGTTTCATTAAATACTAACGGCTCTCAATCCACAGACACTCGAGATATTAATGATATTCCCTTTAGTTTTCTCCAAATGCTTGACACATATATGCGTTAAATAGACCACAGAATTGAAATCAATATTCATTGTTGTCTTAAACCTTTCGTAATAGTCTTTGTCCTGAAATGAGGCCGAAGTCCCGGCGCCGGCGTTATTGACGAGAATATCAAGTTTACCGAAATGTTTGATAGTCTGGTCGACGAGTCGTCGCATGTCTTCCCGTTTGGTCACATCTGCCGTCACTTCCAGTGCTTTAATCCCTTTCG